CGGCTCGGCTCGGTGCTCTGAAACCAATGACTGAACACTGGATGTTCTTTCTGGCAGGATATTGAGCAAAATAACATTTTACCAAGAGGCGTCATGTGATGGTTTGCAACTGTGCAACCATTTAAATGAGTCCTTCCTTAAAGAAGCTTCCTCTTTTGCTACCAGCATTAAGAAATGAAGTCCTATAAAATACAGCTAACATTTAAATCAAATCACTGGATAAAGAAAGGACTTCTTGTGTGCTGGTCTGGTAAGAAAAACTTTTCTATTAACTTTTCTATTAATTAAACATTTTTGGATGTGCCTGTATTTAATAATAAAAAATATGTATTGTGGTTAATTAAATTGGACAAAACTGAATTATTGTTGGCATAAAGAAGGAAAACTATTTAACATAGAGTGAACTCAAGTCAATTTTGTTTCTGTTGGTTTCCAAATCAGCAGCTTCCCAGATGTGTTTCAGTTTGGCAATCATCTGTTCCTTACTAACTGTTCAGTTTGTCTCGGGTAAGCTTTTCAACAATTATCAGTGAACAGCACATCAGGAAAAAGGAATGCTAAGTATGTTTCCATGTGCCTAAAACGTTATATTTGTGCGTCTTGCTGACGATGCGTTTCCAGGCACTCTGCATGAATGTGAGCCTGGTAAGAAAGCAGTCCTGTTCATCACGACGCCAGAAAAACTGGAAGCACTGAGTGGGTCGTGCCTACAAGTCCCATGCAACTTTTCTGCTAAAGGAAGGGGCAACTTCAGGGGCAAAAACTTTGGGGTGTGGATCAAGTCGGATTCTAGATTTGAAGACTCCTCTGCAAGTGTGATTTTCAACAGCAGTGGGTCGATAAAAACGTATCCGCTGGAAATTGCGGGAGACCTGGAGAGACAAAACTGCACAACTGTGTTTCGCAACTTAACAAGGGAACAATCAGACGCATACTTCTTCAGAATTGAAAATGCGCAGTTCCGGGCAACAGCTTCCTGCAGTGGATTTCCCTTAACAGTCAGAGGTGAGAAATTTTGAATTATTAAACAAAATGTGAGCTTCATGCCGGTTGTGATTTTTATTTTAGATATACATCAGTCATGTTTATTTTAAAGACTGATGACTGTGTCACAGTTTTATAAGATTCTGAGCAATTAGATTAAAAGTGGGACTTTGAGATTTATTTAGACTGAGAAAGAGAGGAAACGCTCAGTGCTCCAAAGTGAAAATCACCAGAAAGTGTTTAAATAATGCATACTTTTGTATGTTTATTTGATTTGAAACCCCAGATTCTCCCTGGAGTCCCAGCATTAATGTGACCTCTGACCTGAAGGAGCATCAGTCTGTCACTGTAACCTGCTCAGCTTTCACTCCCTGTCCAAACTCACCTCCTGAACTCACCTGGAATCTCCAACAAGACTCTCTCAGACACACAGAGAAAAACAGAGATGGAACCTTTACAACTAAAATCCAGGAGAACATCACTCTGTCAGACACACATGATGGATACAACATCAGATGTTCTGCCAGATATCCTGTGATTGGGAAACAAGACAGCAGAGACAGAAGTGACTCTCAGTGTTTCATGTAAGTGATCCTGTCAGCAGGTCATAGTTCAGCTGGTTCTGATCAATAAAGTTCATGTGTCTCATTTTCCTCAGATGCTCCTAAAGACACCTCAGCATCCATCAGTCCATCAGGTTTGGTGTCAGCAGGTAGCTGGGTGGAGCTGAGCTGCTCCAGCAGAGCCAAACCTCCACCCACATTCACCTGGTTCAGGATCAGTGAACATGGAGACATTAATGTGTCTGTGGGGCCGATTTACAAACTCCAGGTGACCAACATGACAGATCTGGAAAGTTATTACTGTGAGGCAAAAAATATTCTTGGGAGTCAGACATCTACATGGAGTCGTTTAAAAGACCATGGTAATTTCTTTGTTAATTACATTGATATAGGATGTTAAAGTGTTCCAAAACTAAGCCCTTACTTATGTTACGTATGTTCTTAATATCCAAATGCCTCCACATATTTTCATAAATAGTAGCAGAGGAAATAGTACAATATTTATCCTGTAAATAAATGATATTTTGGACCCAAAAATCTGGACATTTTTGAAAATCTCATTGTTTATGCAGGCCTGTGATTGCGAAATCTCATTTAACTTTCGCTGCTGTTTTTATTTTAGGGATGAAAACAAATGCACTATGGGGAGCTGCTGCTGGGGGATTTATTGCGATCATCATTGTGATCTGTGGCACTTGCATCATTTGGTGAGCATAAGATGTATAATCCAACTGCATGACTTGGAACAAGTCACTTCTTAGAAGAAATCAGAAATGAGGTCTTTGCGATGGATTTACTTTGGAAATGCTGACTCACTCCTTCTGTTTTTTCTAGGCGCTTGAAGTTTAAATGTTCAGCTTTTCGTCAGTCTGAGGTGAGAAAATACAAGCATCCTGTCAGAAAATCACAAGTTTTTATGTTTGTTTTCCAAGGTATTGATAAACATCTATATTTTCGGTTTCTGTGTGCTAAAATAATACATTGTTTTTGACTGTATGTCTGTTACACCCTAAAAGGAGGAAAAAAATGGAAAAGCGAATTCAGCTGAATCAAAGGCTACATTTTGCTTTTTTTTTTTTTTTTCTCTCCAGAATTCGGGTTTCAAAGAGTCGACCAGCGCCGCAGAAAACCAGGACCTCCATTACGGAGACATCGACTTCTCTGCGATGAGACCGTCTCTTAAAAGAGCCCGAGACGAGACGGATCACCAGAGCGTCATGTATTCAGAAGTGAAAGTGTGCAGAGCTGGAAACGGGACTGAAGCTGTGGACGGCCTCTACGCTCAGGTGAAGACGAAACCAGTCAGCCTACATGTCGTCCAGTGAAACGTCCCGCAGATGTTTTGACTTTTTCTCTTTTTCTCGATTGTTTTAATTTTAAAACTGTATGTTTTGGGTTTCCTTCCACAAACTATTCACAACGTTCTGCTATTTGTGAAAAGCAAACTATTGTGAAAGTCAAAACATTGACTTTCAACCGATTTGGACGTTACGTTTATTGTCCAGGTAGACGACACGGTTATGCCCAGGGTTTAACTTCCTGGTTGATGTCTGGAGATGTTGCTTTAACATTTCCACAAATTGTTCCTTTCTCATGAAGCCATCTCCTTTTCTTTTCTTTTTTTGTTTTTTTTTTAAGCGCACCAGTCCTTCTTGCAGCAAAGCAACCACATGCTTCCATCTCCTTGCTTTCTTCTTTCCTTTTCTCCTCAAAATGAAACGTCCAAACGCCTCATTTGGTCGGACTTCTGTCTTTTTATGGAATCTACGTCAATTTTCCGACCATGTCATGCAGTTCCACTTCTGACGGCGCTCTCTTACCCAGAGCACCTTTCAGAAACACCTGCAAAGAAGGAAACACTGGCTCTAAAATGGACAACTATGATTTTGAAGGAAAAAAGTGACTCCATACTTGCAAAGATGACACATTCACAGATCATGTGCTGATGAATAAACCGGTCACGAATGAGGCATCATTGATTTATGCTGCAAACAGTTTCACTTAAATCAATAAACAAGAAAACGTATTGCTTAAGAGATGCAAGTAGGATATTGGAACGGTACCTAGAGGCTTAAACTGTCATTATTTAATGCTGGAAATATTGGATTTTAGATTTGTTGTGAAATAAGTTGACTGTCTGATTTTAGATCAGTTTAATTAGTCCGTGATAGTTTTTAGCTTAGTATGCACTGATTCATATTTTCAGCATCTAATTATAATAACTTATAATTCCATTCTGACAGTTTGCAGCTGTCTGAATGTTTGGCATGCTGGTTGGTATGCAGATTTCTAATGTGCGTATCAAACACACAACAATTGCATAGGCCTCCAGTTGGAGAACTTGTGAGGGCACAGTTGCAAATGAAATGTTGGACAGAGCAGACACAAAAACTTGGATATTAACTATTTTCTGCATGAAAAGCTGTAGTGGATTCATAAAGTCATCAAAAAACTCAGAATGTAAAAATACTCATGTGTGATATTGCTAAACCACATGCTGTTTCGAGGTTAAGAACTGAATTTGAGTTATTTGGTTTGTTGTTAATACATTTCCACCAATAATATACGTTTTTCTTTGAATGACATTCGAATCCAATGTATTAAAATGTATTATGTCAACATATTCCATGTTTCTGGGATTTATTTTACAGAAATAAACCTCAATGTAAATATTATGATTTTCAAAAACGCTTTCTTCATTAGAAGTGCAGTTTTTAATGATACGAGGTTTTCCTGCTTCCTTTTATTCTTATTTAGCTGTGCGGTTGCAGCAGTTGCCGAAAACATGTTTTAAATACAGCAACGATTCACTTCAGGTTTGACTTTATTCTCGGGATACTACGACTGTATTCTCCTAATTTTATGACTTTATGCTTGTAATTTTTGCTTCTTTTTTTCTTATTATGGCCTCAACAGTGTGTCATTTACAAAAAAACAACCAAATTAAGTGCATATAAAATACAAAAATGAACCATTCCTTACTTCAACAGTCCTATTAAATACCTCCAACTGGCAGATCTGCTCCACCTTCCTCAGTGAGCTTGCATCTCAAATATCAAGCATGTCTATTATTTCCAACATCAGGGATAATAGGACCATCTTTAGGCCACGCTACTTCTAAATATAAGGCTGCAGTCTCTCTCTTGCCACCAGGGGCGCTGTGGCTCAACACGAACAGTTCTTTGTCCTCAGGAAGTTTCTTTCCCAGAATCCAACATTCCCAGGTCAGAAAGAGGCCCGTTTCCCCACATAGACCGGTGTGCTTATAATTTGAGTTTTCAACAATTTATCTGATTTAGTCAGAAAAAAACAAAATAGAAATAAAACCCCCCCCCAAAAAAACTATGACCCACAACCCATGAAACCCTTGAGTGCAACAGGAGAGTGCGTTCACTCTCCTGTCTACGACTGTAGACGTTTTCAGGTTAAACAAAATGAAAGAAAGCAGAGAAATAAATCTTAGCCAATTTTATTTTATGTTTAAATCATATATACAAAAATCCAGTGAAATCATTTCAAAGTTATTGCATCCCAACAGAATTTTTCTTTAATCACCTTTGAAGCTTTATAGATAAAACATAAAAGTTAAGATAAAATGCAGATTTAGTCTGCTCTAACCTCACACCATCAGAAAGGAGACTGCATGTGATTAATATAGTAAATGACAAAATGTAAATATCATTTTGATTGTTTAGTATTTTTTAGATTTAGTCTGACTTGCTGTTCACATGGCTGCCATGCTGACTCAAAGTAAGACGAGTTTAAAATAGCCAGATCCAAGACAATAATCAGAGACAAAATAAGGAAAATGAAACGTACAAAAGTTATTCCGCTTTCAATCTTAGGTGTCATTTTACCTTACTCTATTCGGAAAGCTCAAAAACACTTTTAAGTTCCAATTTGTTTACTTGTTAAGTTCTTGTTTACTTTCTGTGAGAGCCAAAATTCACAAATTCAGCATTATAGGCAAACTCCAAACTTCATCCTTTACAAGCAGAAGACACCTGTGGATTACACAAAAAAGGAAAAAAAAAAAAAACGTGTCAAGTTCCATGATTTTTTTTTGTTGCCAAAATTAACTCATGGAAAAACAGGATTTTATGAATGCACAGAAACTTTATCGTGGTACATACCTAGAGTAACAGTGTGTACATCTTACACATCAGCATCTGCAATAACACACAAAAAAGAAATAATTCCATTATGTTAGTTTATGAATAACTTTCCAGACAATCATTTTTAAAAAGTATGTATATTGTATATCACCAATTAGCCAGAAGCCTAAAGTAGAGTGGAAAACAATATCTTTCAACTGAGTTTCCACAAGGTCCTCTTTCTCATTCGGGTCCCAAACAACTTTATCAATAAGGTGCAAAAAATTAAAAGCAGTACCCCATTCATGGAATGTTGTCTTTCCCACATGTGTCACTCTGCAAATGTAGCGCTCTCCATCCGCTGGAGTGAAATTTGCGTGCTTGGTGAGGTGGTAGTGCCAGTTCTCCTCAAAGGCCAGGTCAGTCTGCTTGACGTCAGCTATTTCCTGTCCATTCTTCAGCAAATCGATTTTGATCTCTGGTGGGTGAAAGCCGCTGACGTGGCAGATGAGGACGTTTTTGCTCCCGTACAGCCCAGGGTTGCGACTGTAGATCTGCACCTTTGGTGACACTGACAACACACACATGCACACACACACGGCATTAACACATCTTCAAAAACAAGTCAACAAAATTATACACTTTTTTGTTTAGTTAGTCTTAAAATGACAGCGATGAATAAGTTATGGCATTTGGAAAACCGAAGGTGTGTGTGTGTTTTTTTTTCTTTGCCGCTGTCAGTGACTTTCGAATATAACGTCACAGGTAGTTGCACAACTACGCAGCTCTCTAAGGTTTAAGAAATATTCAGTTCTTTCTCTTTTATCATGTACACAACCAATACAAATGCTTTTTTAAGGTTGACACATTCTACATTTAATACTAATGCACATCTAATGTCATCCCTAAGGGCCAATTAAAGAACACCAAAGAGACCAATTAACTTAAAAAAAGGAAGAAGCTGGGAGATAAATATATGAATCCTAAACATGTCCCAATCCAGAAAATGTGTTTGCTTTCAAAACTCATCTAGCGTCATTGTGCAGTGAGTAATTAAAACCGCTGACATCTTTGGTTGGGAATGTTTCTCTTGCTAACTTAACCAACAGCGGATGGACCTGTTTGAGTGGAATGAGGAACAAGGCTGCATTTGAACGTAGAAGCAGAAACATCAAACGCTGTCCCAGCCGAGAGAGTCTCAAAAGACAAGACGCCAACAGAAGTTGTTTTGAATAGACGGATGTTGAAAACAACTTGATAAAACCGAACTCTACAGCCCCAACCACACATTCCTGCTCAGGAATACAATTTACCACAATTACAGTCCAACAGCGCTCTTAGGGTTATTGTTTTCTAGTGACTCGATCTACCAGTTGGTGGTGTGGCCTCACCAACACCTTGTATAGCCATCAAAAAAAACAAAAAAAACAAAAAACAAGCTGCACTTTGGACCCAGCTAAAGTCCACAAAGAACATAAAACTCTTGGACTTTGACATGTTTTACAATCTTACGCAGAAGACACAGTCTCAGTCTCTTAAGGTGAATATAAAAACCTCAAAATATCCTTACTTCATGGGTAAAATTGAAAATATGAAGAACATCTTGAATATAATATACGTTATAAGTCATGCCAACTGTTTTCTCATAAGTAACAAGTTTTCTAAGACTCAATTAAGGTGTTGTTTGATACAGTGAAACCATTTCACAAACTCCAGGCCCATGACGAGGTAATAAACAATGGATAAGAACTGGTTCTAATCACACTTTACTGTTGTCAGGAACAGGCATTGCAGCAAAGTGAGCAATTTTGCATAACACACTCAGGGTTTCCCCCAGTGTTTTATGAGCCTGGCGGGCCACCAGGCTAAGCATAGCTTATTTATTCAAGTCTTTTTAAAATGTTTGCGCTTTTTTCCAGACCTTACAGCTGGTGTTCAGGTGTTAATCTTCCTATAATACATAATTATAAAGTGATATTTTCAAATTTCCTGTCGACTTTAAAGATTTTTTTAACTCAAGATCACGACGGACTGCTGGAGGAATGACTGCCCTCGAACCCAACCACCGGGCTGACATGGACACTGAATCTGACTGGATTGCTATGTAACTAGAATCAAATTGAAATGTATGTAATTTAATTTGAATAGGACTGGTTTTATTTGACAATTTTGATTTGGGCCTATTTGCATTGTAAAATGACAGTTATTGAAAATTGGCCCCTGTAAAACAAACTGAACTAAAGGCTTTGATACAAAATAAGTCAACAAAATGATACACTTTTAGCAATACAACAACAGTTACTGTTTGACTCATATGACACGGCAGATGCCATTGTATCACATCTATTCTCTAGGTTTGTACATGGGAACATAAGGAAACCTGGTTAAACACCAGGCGAAACCCTATAAATAAACAATAATGCAAAGTAACCTTAACAAAAAGCTTTTTCTTTTTATCATTGAATACATATGCCAACAGTTTATTGAGGTAATATGATCAAATTGCCTTGGTCAATAAAAACATCCTTTAAATGCAGTTGGATATTTCATAAAACAGTACAGAATATAGAATTTAAAAAGTCATATTCTTTTAAAATTAACTCTATTTAAGAGAAGCCAGTTAAGTGTTTGTTTATCTATTTTCTAAATAAAAATAGATATAAATTGTGGAGGTCATTTTGAGAAACACAGCAGGTCTCTGTGTTTTAAAAACCAGTTTCCGACTCAACACACACTCTATGCATTTACCGAGGACGATTTTAACACGTTACATAGAGACACTTTTTGTTTTTATTGTAATAAGGCTTCTTACAGCTACTCTAAAACAGACGTCTCATTTTAAGCTGACTCACTGCACAATAAATTAGTAACCTATCCGGGTTATATCCACGGTCAGGAGTGAATTCGTACATTTTCTAGTCTTCTTCCTTGTAACACAGCGCCATTGCTGTCCCGTACACCCGCTGTAACCAAAACAAAATCCGACACACAACTAATTTACCTGTTTTAGCCAGAACAGCATGAGACGAGTAGAGAACAATGACCAGGAAAACCAACTCCTTCATGATTCTTTGTTTTAAGACGGTCTCTGGCAGAAGACGGTGCTTTCTCTTCGTATAAAAACGACGGCAAAAACTGCGCAACAACTCAAACCGAAAGTGAAGACGTTAGTGAGGCGAAAGCGCGTCAGGACCAGACTAACCCCGCCCAACAAAGCCACTGAAGGCCACGTGACATTCCCGCAACCAATAAGGAAATTTAAAGAAAGCGTTGCGAGGTGGAATTTACAACATATGATTGACGTTTTCTTCTTTTTCTTAGCTTTCTGGGTAGCAGGCAAGCAACGAAAATATCTTACCGCCATCTAGTGGTCAAAAATGTTAATTAAAATCAGGTTTATAAACGGATCTATCAAGTAATAAATAACATGAACAAATAACAGAGAAGTTTTGTGTTAGTTTGTAAAATATGACTCGCATAAGTTTTTTTGTTTGTTTGTTTTTTTTGTTTGTTTTCAAAATATTTGTTTGAGATGCCTGACCTTAATTTATCATGATGACGTAACCTCATGGCAAATTCGGGTTTGACCTCGGTACTGTTAGAGAGCTAGAGAATCACTCTTTTCTTTATAACACAGCAATACAATCTAGTTGTAATTTTTACTTTTGTTTTTCTTCAGTAGCTTATTTCATATTGTATTACATATTATTGTACATTATGTCTCAATGCAAACGTTGCATTTGACTTAGCCTCATATAAGTATAGACATACATACATACCTATCTATCTATCTATCTATCTATCTATCTATCTATCTATCTATCTATCTATCTATCTATCTATCTATCTATCTATCTATCTATCTATCTATCTATCTATCTATCTATCTATATCTATCTATCTATCTATCTATCTATATCTATCTATCTATCTATCTATCTATCTATCTATCTATCTATCTATCTATCTATCTATCTATCTATCTATCTATCTATCTATCTATCTATCTATCTATCTATCTATCTATCTATCTATCTATCTATCTATCTATCTATCTATCTATCTATCTATCTATCTATCTATCTATCTGTCTGTCTATCTGTCTGTCTGTCTGTCTGTCTGTCTGTCTGTAAATATATCTATCTATAAATATATGTACAGATAGAGCGCGAGATAACGTAGACAAGATAACTGAATTAATTATATTAGTAATTTCATAAAATCAAGACATTTATTAATATAAATACTAGTTACATTATTCTAATAGATATATTCATTTGGAGCCTAAAGCCTGGCAGCTGCTTGGTGCCCTCTAGTGTTGTACAGGTTAATTTTACTTCGGTCTCTGTTGATTTTTTTATCCCAGAAATGAGAGCAAGGTCCAAAAATAGCCCTGGTCATGTTTGTTCCCCTTTAAACTGACTATTTACATAAAAATACTACTTGTTGACCTGAAAAGATCTCATCCTCAGTCATTTGAATCTGAAGATGTATTTATATTATTAAAGCTCAATACATCTTCAATCTTGGTAACTTGTTCTGTAAGAATATTTCAAATTCACCAAAAAAATGCTTTGCATTCTGAATAAACAGAATACAGGAAAGAGTGATGGTGTAGCTTTAAATTCCTCTTTAAAATAGAATTTTGACTCTGTTTTTTGGGCACTTTGGACGCTTGTCATCCTGACCCACGGCTGTTCATCTCATTGCCACAGACAATGAAGGCACTGAGTGCAACTCCCTGTACTCAACACTGACATACATTCTCGGAGATCATGGACACAGAATTACTCGCTGATCTAAATCAGTTATCTGCATTGCTTTTCCCGCTTTTCCCACCATTTTTCTTTTGGTTTACATTATATGATTAATAAAAGTGATGAAAAAAAAACTATATATAAAAAAAAAAAAAAATATATATATATATATATATATATATATATATATATATATATATATGTGTGTGTGTGTGTGTGTGTGTGTGTGTGTGTGTGTGTGTGTGTGTGTGTGTGTGTATCTGGTTACCTGAGCAGACAGTCTGGCCAACATATATATATATATATATATATATATATATATATATATATATATATATATATATCTATATATATATATATATATATATAGATATATATATATATCTATATATATATATATATATATATATATATATATAGATATATATCTATATATCTATATATCTATATATATATAGATATAGATATCTATATCTATATATATATATATATATATATATATAGATATATAGATAGATAGATAGATAGATAGATAGATATATAGCTTAGAAATTTCATTTAAAAATCTATTATTATTATTTTTATTATTATTATTATTATCATTACCTGGTCAGCAATATAAAACTGGCTTTACACTGGATTAAGATGCGTTACGGCCACAACTCTTTGTAAAACCGTCTGAGTGCTATTGGATCACAGAAATGTTGGAAAGTGTTTCTTCAATTTAAAAGGCTGGCATGATTTTGTCATTCTGATTTTCCAGACATATATTTAGATGTGTGTTTACATCTAAATATAAATATATTTGCTGTTAACAGGCAGTAGTTACCGTAGCAACTAGTAACAGTAGGCTCGTCCCCTTTTGCCATCTTTAACTCTGGTATGTATTAAGATCAGCTCTGTGCTTTCTTTACAGTACTATATTTTAACATGTATGTTAGACTAATTTAATATTATGCAGTGTTTAATGTTTTGTAATGATTTGTATATATTTTTGCTGTTTCATAATTAATATTTCACATTTAAGCTATCTCTGAGTTTACAACTGTTAACTGATGTCAACTGTTTATTAGGAACAATTGCTCTGTAGTTTGTTTGGGGTTATTTATTGTATTTTTATTTAATGTATAGGGCCTGGACTGATGTTAACACCAGCTTGATCTTCTCTCTTGTTATCTCTGCTTCAACTTTTGATAAAAGGTAACATGTCAGTTCTCAGTCGTGTGTTAGTTTTTAATATAAAGTGTGTGTAATCTCCATCTAGTAAAATTACATATCTTCATTTATAGAGAAGAAAAGATTAGCTATGTAGATGTTTAATGTAAATTTATTTTAAATACCACTACACTATGACAGTCAGCCTGTGCCTTTTTACTGTCCTTAACTTTGTGGCACAAACTGCTGGTCTGATGTCTGACTTTTACATATGACAAACATTCAACCAGCTTGAATGTTTGTTGTGAAGTCAACCTACGACGAACAGAGAAAGGTTACATATCCATCACATTTACTCTGAATCATAGAAAGTGGTGGTCTGACCTGCTGTTGATCCACTAAAATCCATTCAGTTTTTTATCTAAACTGGTTCTGATTTAGCTGCAGGTTTCTTTTGGTAAGTTTGTGTTGATTTGATTTATCGTTATGTATGTTTCCTGACTTTTACTATATTACAGAATCATTTTAATGCTATGAAATAATCATGACATATTTTTCAAAATGTTTAATTGCTGCCTTTTAATCATTTGAGTTCTGATTTGATCAAGAGACAGCTTTAAAAATATTAATCTCATCATCAGCTTGTTCCAGTCAGAGAGATGAAGAAGCTCTGTCACCTGTATAACAACATCCTGATAGTCGGCATTTTACTGATTGTCTTCGGTCCTCCAGGTGAGTTTGTTTGTTTAGTCCCTTTTATTTGGAGACGTCACATAAATCACTTATAGTCTGAAATATTTTATTCTGATATGGTTCAAATGATTCACACCTAACATGAAGCTGAATCATAGTTCAGTTTCATATCAGATAGTCGATGTAACAGGATGATTTTTCTTCATGTTATTTTCATCATTCATCTGTTTTACAGGTGCTGTGGCTCATTGTGGTCATATTTCAGACATCCATGCGCATATACCACATGAGATACTAGCTCTGTCTGGATCTTGTGTGGACATCCGATGTAGATTTGATACTTTGCCAGAATTTGACAGCAACTCATCCAGTTACGCAGTCTGGATGAAATATGTTAAGAATTTTAAAACTATTTCATCAACTAAAATTTATTATAACAGCAGCGGATCAGTGAACACCCATCAAATGGAACTCATTGGAGATTTGAGAAGTACAAACTGCACAACTCGGATTTCTGATTTAAAAGCATCTCATGCAGACAAGTACATGTTTAGAATTCAGAATAAGGGATTTGCTGCAACATATTGTGAAGATTCTGTGACGCTAACAGTTGCAGGTAAGAGAGCTGTTTTCTGTCTTTTCTATGTAACATACACTCACCAGCCACTTTATTAGGTACACCGTGCACTGATTGTCGTGTTCAGGAAACCAGTCTGACATGACTCGCGCTTTATGACATGCTGCATTATCCTGCTGGAAGTAGCCATCAGAAAATGTGTACACTGTGGTCATTAAGTTTGCTGTTGTTAGCTGACAGCAGAGGCACACGGTGTGGTTTTCTTCTGCTGTATCGCAGCCGCCTCCAGGTTTGATGTGCGTTCAGATATACTCTTCTTTAAACCTTTATTGTAACAAAGGGTTCTTTGAGTCACTGTTGCCATTCTATCAACTTGAACCAGTCTGTCCATTCTCCTCTGACCTCTGGCATCAACAACCATGCCACATTCGATGTCACGTAAATCACCTATGTTCCCCATTCTGATATTCGCTTGAAACTGCGGCAGATCATCTTGGCTATGTCTACATGCCTACAAGCATGTGATTATTAACTGATTGGACTTTTGTGTTAATGAGCAGTTGGACAGGTGAACCTGAAAAAGTGGCCGGTGAGTCTATTTTAGCTTAGTTATGTTGTAAAATGATGAATTTGCAAATATAACCAGATGTTATCACAAATTAGAAATAAATGTTAGGGAGAAGTTTTTATCAATGCATTTTCAATTTACTAAGGTTATTTATTTAAATTCAGGTTTGCAGATTATCTTGTTTATTCCCAGAACAAAAGTAAAACCAAAATTTAGGAGCCGAAGTCATTAAGCATTACAATTTAGAGAATTGTTAATATTGAGTACAGTCTCAGCCAACTGTAATTTACACTATGTCAGCATTGTATTCTTTGACGAAATCCACAGTTACACTGAGGGATGACAGTCATTATGATTGACGGCTGCTGTCCAGCACCGCCGTATCTTTCCTCACTACAAGTTATAAGATAAAGCGGCAAGTT